CTTCCTCCGAAGGAAGAAGGCCGAGAGGAACCGACCGACGGATAATCCTCTCAACTCAAACTTCGCCTCTCGTGGTAAGGGCAAAGCACCTGCAGCTGCTGGTGGTGCTAATCAAGCGTCACAACAGCAATCCCGAAGGCAGCAAAAGACTTCGGGTCCGAGACTCCAAAGAGAGTATTCTTTCAAGGACGAAGACGTTCCAGCCATCTTCGAATCCCTCCTTGAAGGTAATAAGATCAAGCTACCACCTATCACAAATCAGGAGGAAGCTGACAACACTACGGACCCAAAGTACTGTGCATACCACAGGATGGTCGTTCATCCCACTAAGGATTGCTTTGCTCTCAAGAATAACATTCAGACCTTGGTTGAAGCCGGCGTCATAACGCTAAGGTAAGCCAGATAAAAACGGCAACACTCCGAAGAGTATACGAGTATAAACTGCTTCTCAAAACTCCAAAGAGTATACGAGTATAAACTGTTTCTCAATCCTCCGACCGGTATAAGAGGTTAAACTACTCCCTGATACTCCAATAGGTATATGAGTCTAAACTGTTTCCCCACTGTTAACGGGAAGTTCCTGGAGAATATTAAGCTAATATTATTAAGGATAACCCGGTTAGGTAACTGATAATAATGTCCGAACCAGTTCCGCAGAGGAAACTGGGGGTGGACGATTTATGTAACGGGAAGTTCCCAAAACCACAGCAATGTAATGAATAAGAACTCCCATTCTCACCATGTCTATGCACTCAACACTCTCTCTGTTAGAGTCTGGACGTAAAGTTCCCAATTGGTCAAACCTTCATACAGTTAGGACCAAAACCAAAATCTCCTCTCGATTCCTTCAATGAACGAGAGGGATCAAACCTTCCGACAGTTAGGATCGTCTTAAACCTTCCAATTGGTCAAACCTTTCTACAGTTAGGACCAAAACCAAAATCCTCTCTCGATTCCTCCAATGAACGAGAGGTCCACTTTCAAATCGAGTGATCAAACCTTCCGACAGTTAGGGTCACCTCAAACTCCTGTTTGGCCAAACCTTCCTACAGTTAGGGTCAAAACCATAATTCACTCTCGATAAACGAGAAATTCATCTTTAGTTCAGTAATCAAACCTTCCGACAGTTAGGGTTATCTGAATCTGTTCGAATCTCGGAGTGGAGATTCCACTCTTGGTTTCACCCTTCCAGATTCTGGGGGTGGAGATCCCACCTCGAGTCTCCTTTCCAGCTGAAGATAGAATATAAAATTCTTCTTTTCAGCATCGGGAGATAGAATATAAAATTCTTCCTCTCCCATTTCGGGTTCGTCTTTGCCCCAAGAGAAGACACCACCTTTTTCAAATCCCAAAATCTGTGCCTCACAGGTACAGGGAATTTTATCCCGAATCCTAAGTAGGGATAAGTCAACGCCTAACACGCGTTGCCGGTTTAGTCTTTTTCCGTAGAAAAAGACACCAGAGTTCGATTCTGGGGTATTCTATCCTGAAACCTAAGCAAGGATAAGTCTGCGCCTAACCCGCGCTGCCGGTTAGTTCTTAACCGTTGAAAAGAACATCCGTCCACATATTCAACATTGTGGCAGGTTGTTATTAATAACACCAAAATCCATGCCTTACACGCATGGGGAATTTCATCCTGAATCCTAAGAAAGGATATGCCGACGCCTAACACGCGTCGCCGGTTTAGTCTTTTACCGATTGAAAAAGTCTCAGAGAATTCCCTCTCTTAGCACAACGTTACATGCGGAACGGATTTAGACAATCCGCATGCTAGCCCGACTCAAACGGTAGTCGGTAAAGGCTAATCAAATCCGTTAAAGGCTGGGGATTAGCCAAAAATCCTAAAGTCAACGCCTAACACGCGTCGCCGGGTAGTCTATTCCCGTGAAAAAGACAAAGTCTACGTATTCGAAGTCGTAGCATCAAGTGTAAGGGAGTTCATTCCTTTAGCACAACGTCACGTGCGGAACGGATTTAAGACAATCCGTATGTAAGCCCGATTCAAACGGTAATCGGTAAAAGCATGTCAAATCCGTTGAAGGCTGAGGATTTGCCAAAAATCCTAAGTCAACGTCTCATACACGTTGCTGTTTAGTCTTTTCACAGGAGAAAGACGAAGTCTACGTATTCAATATCGTAGCACTAAAAGGGTTAACTCTTTTAGCTTAACGTCACATGCGGAACGGACTTGAACAATCCGCATGCTAGCCCGACTCAAACGGTAGTCGGTAAAGGCTTCTCAAACCCGTTGATGGCTGAGGATTTGCCAAAAATCCTATAAATACGAGAGTCATTGACGCATCAGCGTCATTAGTTGGTCTCGTGACCTGAGCATCCAACGACATTCGGAACCCTAGGGGTTAACGCCGGTCAATGCATAACCCTAGGTCAACGCCAGTCAACGCGTTGCGAGCAAAAATTCAACGTACGACGTTCGAAACCCTAGGATTAACGCCGGTCAACGCGTAACCCTAGGTCAGCGCCAGTCAACGCGTTGCGAGCAAAAATCCAACGTACGACGTTCGAAACCCTAGGGTTAACGCCGGTCAACGCGTAACCCTAGGTCAACGCCAGTCAACGCGTTGTGAGTAAAAATTCAACGTACGACGTTCGAAACCCTAGGATTAACGCCGGTCAACGCGTAACCATAGGTCAACGCCTATCAATGCGTTGCAATCAAATACTCCGAAAAGTATACGAGTATAAACTGCTTCTTAATACTCCAATAAGGTATATGAGTATAAACTATTTCCTATTGTTGGTGGAGAAGTTCCTGGAGAATATTTTTATTCTTAAGGATAACTCAACAACACTACGCCGGACAACGCGTCACAAATAAAAACTCAACGCCAGCAATCGATGGTCAGTTCTACGAGCTAAAGATCGAAAATCAGGAATTGACTTCAAGTTCAAATTTCCGACAACGGTCAGACAATAAATGCAGCACCGGAACTCTTACAGTCATTCGACAAAGCACCGAATAACCTGGAAGATTGAAGGAATCAAGAACGGAAGTCATTCCAAGGTCCCATTACACCGACTGAAGGTGGGGACAATCATATCCAAAGTATTCCAGACTCTGTTGTAGGCATATAAAATTGCCTATAGGTCCCTTAGCACAGCTCGGCACAAACCGACAAACCAACGAGGCGACGAGATCGACAAATCGCACGCGAACAACAGAATGAATCCACCCGCGTGCAGAATCAAGCTAACGAGTTGAGGAATCAACGAGTCATCCAACCGAGAGCAGACTCGGACGAATCACGATCAAGTCAAGATCAGTTTCGGACTCGAACTCAAAAGCGGATCAGGAATCCGACTTACTGCCTAATCAGGATCTGGATTTACTGCCAAATCAGGTCAACGAATCAAGTCTGGACAAATCAACCACAGAACCAAATCACGAATAGAACCAAAGGCGGAAAACAGCAAACCCACACACCCGGAGGGAACCGAATCACGAATAGAACCAAAGGCGGAAAACAGCAAAACCACACACCCGGAGGGGCTCGGCTCAAACCGAGCCACCTTGAGGTGGCTCGGCCCAGTGCCGGCCACCCAGAGGTGGCCGACAGATTTCTGTGCGCGGGCACAGTAAAGAGAGCCTATAAATAGAGGCCTTGGTTCATTTGTTGAGGAGGTTGGATTTTGGAAGAGGCGAAGCCCTGCAGGATTGGAGACTCAGATCTAAAAAAAAAGATCTCAACTTTGGGACATCAAGGACTTGCTCATCCAGATCTGGTGCTCGGCGATCATCAACGTCAAATAAGGCAGGTGTTCGAGAGGATCGGATCTCAGATCTACGTTGCTACACTCCGGATCAAAGCTTGGTCTTTGATCCCGAGATTTGGACGATTGTTTCCTTGGTGAAACAATCCTCCCCGGCTATTATTTCCTTGGTGAAATAATACCCGTTGTACTGCGTAGATCCGACCGGATCTAGATCGCGCGGTGGTCCACGACAAACAACCCCGGCGTAGGCAAACAACCCACAAAGCGAGCGACCGCAAAACAGGAGCTCGTGATTCGTTCGACAAACAAGGAAACAAAGTTGTAATTTTCATTTCTTTTTAATTTGATTTTCGTTGTAACCGGATCTTATAAAAAGACCGGATCTTTGTAATCGATAGACTATTACAAGAGTGTACAATGGAATCATTAATGAAGAAAGCAACGAATTTCCCTGCGAACAGTGTCCAATCAAAAGGAAACACTTTTACTCCGACCTGTTTTCAGCGCTGGGCTGAAAACAGGTCGGTTTTTGTAATTATTTTCAAAAGGGGTCGTTTTTTGCAAATAAATAGCGAAAGAGGGTGATTTTGAAAATTTGTCCATATTGCATGCCCTCCAAACTCATTGGAGAGTTACAAAGGGAAATGGCCTCTCCTTCTCCTTCTCCTTCTCAAAACGACGACAGTCATCATTCAGAGAAGGGAAAAGAGAAGAATGGGCCGAGGTTTTTCGACGCGAAGACCAGGGCCATGTGCTGGGCGA